TGTAATCCCAGCTACTCAGGAGGCTGAGGCGGGAGAATTGCCTGAACCCAGGAGGCGGAGGTTGCAGTGAGCCGAGATCGCGCCATTGCACTCCAGCCTGGGTAACGAGCAAAACTCCGTCTCAAAAATAAAAAAATGAAAAAAAAAATAAAGTCCCCTTTCTAAATATATAAATTGTGTAATTTTTCAGTTGACAGAAGGAATGAAAAAAAGGAGGGAAGGTAAAATGTACATACACACACACAAGGAAAGAAAAAGAAAAAGAAACAAGTGGCATATTCCTCAAGAAGAAAATGGTTGAGTTAATTATGTTACATCCAAATAATGGCTGTTGTGCAGATTCTGAAAATAGATCTGTATACATTAACCAAGAGGAATATCCATGATATATGTTAACTGAAAAAAGAACAGTTCCATATTGTGCATGTGGAATACATTACACTTTGGGCAAAAGAGATAGAAAAAGAAAGAGGAAGGGAGAAAAAGGACAGGGTCAGAGGGAGATTTATACACATACCATTGTGAAAGGATGAAGTTGAAGGTGAAACAGGTGTGATTAATAACATTTTACTTGGGTAACTTTATAGGCCCCATGTATTAAGATACTTTTGTCAATTTACAACATGTTAAACAAGGCAGACCAGGATGGAGAGGGGCCTGAAGCCATAGGACCTTCTCCATAAGATGTGTGAGAAAGGAGAGAGAGAATACAAGGAGAACACATAATAAACACTCAGTCTTAGATAGGCGTCAAGGAACTACAAGTTTCACCTGGTGAAGAGTGATCATTACAGCTTCAAACATGAGAAGAGACTGTGTTAGAATCTGTCCTCTGTCAACGTTGAGTGGTGGCTTCTGGAAAATAGGTGACAGGCGGAAAAAAGAAATGATTTCCAAACCCATGGAGAGCTCCCGTCATGTGCCTCAGTCTCCCGAACAGAGCTTCTCCGGCTGTAGCCTGGGAGGCAGGACCAGGCTGTTTCTCGGGCTCCAAGTCAAGTGTCACATTCAGGTTGCAAGTCAAAATTAGTTGGCCAATTGGAAGGTGGATCAAAGATTTCTCCTGTATTTACCCATTCTGCTTGTAATCGATTGGGGTTAAGAAAGGAGAATTAGGAGGATTAACCAGGGGTTTCAGGGCAAGATTTTGTGACACTTCAAATGATAATTTGTATTGATGTAATCTAGTTAACATAAACTGTACCATGGTAGATGTCAGAACCTTAGTCTCAACATGCACGGGCTTCATTATCAAAAGTCCAAAACAATTTCGTTAATTGTGTGAGTTCGTAACCAAAAGGCTCATGAAAGTATAGCCTGAGAAAGTCTGGGGGGTGTTTGCTTCCCGCGGTAGGAAAGCACTAGAGAAGCAGTGTGGTTATGGGTGACTGACATGTGTCTGTCGCATGGATCTGCCTCATCTTCTCTAGAAGCTGGAAAACATAACACAGCGAGGTAGAGAGGGAAAAGGGGCAACTTTTAGGATCAGTTCAAGCACTGTCTCTGCAGTAGGTTCGGAAGTCACAAAGAACGACTCTTCAAGCCTCAGTTTCCTTATCTGCAAAACAGGAGTGATGCTAGATTATGAGGGAAAAAGGAGACAACAGACACATCAAATCCCTGGGCCATAAATAGACAGTTACTAACACCAGTTTCCTCCTACTCTCTTTTTTTATAGTACGTTCCTGCCCACCACTATTTTCTCAGGAAATCAAAGTGGAAGATTGCAATTGCTCTGCCCGACCCCAATCTACTCTTTGCTGCGTGCTTCTTGTTGTCCTTGCGTGAGCCGGGCCTCTTCAGGGGAGCGGTGATGCGGTGCAAAAGGAACACACGCGTGCGTTGCTGATGTACGTTCTGTGGGAGAGACAGACGTGAGGCTATCTGTGAATTTCCATGGCTTTTATAATTGGGGTAGTCATACATCATTTACACTCACATAAAGATCCTGTTTTTAGTTTAGAAAGGGTTGTTTTAACATTTTTTTTCCATCGTTACACAAGTAAAGCATATTTTTGGTTGAAAAATTTTTAACTACCCAAAGCTGATAGGAGGAAATAAAATCCACCTATAATTATACCAGCTAGAGAGAACTGCTTTTAATGTTTAGGTAGGCATCATTTGAGATCTATATTTATAGACAGAGATATAGATAGACACTTAAATAGGTATCTAGGCATATAAATAGGTGTATAATAATATCTGTAGTGGATCAAAATAGATAAATAGTATATTAAAGTGTCTAATAGGCAATTAAAATAGATATATAATAATAAATATATTTTATTTAAAATATAAATATGTATCTAATAGTTATATTATACCTAACTAGGTATAAAAAAATGTCTGCTGTAGAAATATACATGTACTATTTGAAATGCATGCTGATTTAAAATTACTGCAAAAAGAAAGTGCAGACAACTCTGCCTCTGGGAAAATGTAATCTTAATGATACACACACCTATTCTCTCTCCATTCAGTGCCTAATGTGGGTGATGACTGGATGGTCTTTCAGAGGCCCGAGGAAGTAGGATTCCAGGCAACAGTATATGGTCTTCTTATTGCATGTCTATAAGCAACAACTTCCTTCCTGGCTCTGTAGACTCTCTAGAAGAAAGAGCAAAATTTCAGTGTTTCCTACGTGTGTTTGAGAGCATATGACAGCCCAAGAGGAGATGGGAAGAATACCATGGAGAGTGCCAGGGGCCCATCTGCCTCCAAACATGTTGAGACGGTTGACAGCAAGGAATAAGCATTGACAAGACAGATAGACAGATAAACTACCACGACAACATGGAGCAGGTCCTGTGCACTGGATAAAGACACTGTCATTGGTAAGTAAGACCGCCTGGTTCATGGAGTCCCTCAGAGCCTAACCACAAAGATGGACCTTAGAGACCAGAATAATTAAGCGTCCATTTTTTGTGACTAATGAGAAGACGGCATATGGGCATATATCCTGTGGGATGAATATTTTATATACTTAACCTTATTAAAACAGCTTGGGTGAGTAGATTTCTTCAGGCAGTTTTAAAGCATTATGCTATCTCCAGGAAAGCAAACATCTCCTGGCTATCGTGTGAGCAGATGGGAAGTGCTGAGAAAATCTGGAGATCAGACTCTTTGGCAACCATAGCACCCTATTAAATTGGTTTATACAATGATGGACACCCACAATAAAGTAACAAGGTGGTTTCTGAAGTTGCCAAAATTTTCTCTTTTTTTGTATTTCAATTATAAAAGGAGTAAAAATAATCTGTACATTTGTCTTTGGGTATATACTATAAAGGTGAGAGAAAAGATAAAGGAACTTCAACACTTTCTTAATTCTAAGGCCACCTTTGCCCAGATTACAAGTACCCCTTTTATCGGCCCTTTACCCAGCCATTTACTGCTAACTCATACCCAAGAAGGCTGTGATATATCCAGCATCCAACTTCAGAAACCAGTCAGCCATTGAACTCTGATCTTAATTCTAAAAGCAGAACCATGTCATTCTGTACCTTCTTAAAGATAGAAATTGCTTTGGCACAAAATTCGTCCACGTTTAGAACTTAATTCAGTTAGATTTCTAATGTTTATCTAACTGCTGGAGGTGAAAGATATCAAAAGTTGCTAATAAGATCTAACATAATCAGTATCATTCTACTCCATTACAAAGCCAAACTGATGGAAGCCAAGCCCTGTTCAAGACACTTCACTGAGCAGACAGCTTCAGATCAGTCAGTCGATTGTTCTACCTTTAAATCAAGTCATTAATTTAACTAGATGATCCTCCCAAGTGAGCATTTATACTGAAATGAGCTGTTTGGGAGGGTGATGCAAACACAGCGTAAAAGCCTTCACAAACAGTAGCGTCGTGTTGTCGTTTGCTTGGTTGGTGTTGTTTTGTTTTGTTTTTGAAAAGGGTTTCACTCTGTCCCCCAGGCTGAGTGCAGTGGCACAATCACAGCTCACAGCAGCTCAACCTCCTGGGCACAACCAATCCTCCCACTTCAGCCTCCTGAGTAGCTGGGACTACAGGCATGTGTCACCACGCCTGGGTAATTTTTAATTTTTTTTTTTTAACACAGTCTCACTCTGGTTGCCCAGTGTCTCACCATAGCTTCAACCTCCTGGGCTCAGGTGATTATCCTACCTCAACCTCTCAAGTGGCTGAGATTACAGGCATACATCACCACGCTTGGCTAATTTTTTGTATTTTTGTTAGAGATGGGGTTTATCTATTTTGCCCAGGGTAGTCTAAAACTCCTGGACTCATTCAGTCTGCCCACCTCAGCCTCCCAGAGTGCTGAAATTATAGGTGTGTGCCACTACATGTGCTTAATGGCATTTTTAGAGGCCCCAGGGTTGCTTCCTAAGTGATTGTGACCTTACTACATGTTATATACAACTTAGCAAAGCACGAACTCTCAGTTTTACTCCAGCTTCACAGAGCGCCAAGAAGGAAACTGTTGTTGAAACATTTGCAAACGAAAGTTTAAAAGACCATACAGTGTTGTTAAAATCCAATTCTCACTATTTCTGAGCAATGAACCTCTGACTCTTCTACAGGTCTGGCCAATGCGAAGAATCTGCATTCAATGTGAAGAGAACAGGATTCTTGTGCTACTGGAAATCTTTAACACTAAACAATTATAAATTAAACAGAGATGAGGCTTTTTGGAACAATAACATTCTTACATGGAAAATTCTCTGATAGGCCATCTAGGTGTATTTACTAAGGCTGTATTGACCAAATATGTACGTTGTCGCCCTTGCGGCCGCTTTGACCTGATGTGGTAACCCCGTTTCTCTAACCAAGCTTCCCTCCGGGGCCTTACTTCTAGATTCTGGTCCAGGATCCCAGCACGCTGCTTCTATCATCTCTGTCCCCTTCCTGGGACAAGAGTCCTATAGCCTATTGACAGATGTCCAGTATACTGACTATCATTCAAGAAGACTGCATAGTGCACACTCCCTTTGTAAGAACTTATTAGAAGACATTATTATACCTTTTTGTCACCATTTTGAACCTTTTGCTCACACTGAGCATGATGGCTGAACTGACTGGACATTTGCTTTCCCATCATACCATGATTTCACTGCAATTTCAGCTGGTCCCACTCATCTGGGTGTGCAGGTGGGTCTGGTTTTAGGATTTGGCCATTTCCCACTTTCCAAAAATATTTTAGAAATTACTAAAATGTCACTGGGAGTAAGAGTTGCCAGGTTTAGTAAATAAAAGTACAGGATGCCCACTTAAATTTGAATTTCAGATAATCAATTCGTAAGGTTTTAATATCAGTACATCCCATAAAATTCTAAAAAGTTATTCATTGTTTATGTAAAATACAAATTTACTCAGGTGTCCCATGATTGACTTGGCAGCTCTATTTGAAATGCCATATTTTGTTCACAGATGCCTTTTGAAGATTTCAGCCTCTGGGGTCTGTTTTATCACTAAAAGCTTAATGCTTGGGACCTTTCGCTCCACCATCCTGCTCATGCCTTCCCCAGGAAGAACATAGCTGTCTCTGCCCAGCAGCCACCTCTATGCTGTGGAGAAATCTTGCTCTTCAAAGCTTTTCTTGCTATTGTATATGTGGAGTTCTTTGATGTTGATAAGACTCAAGATCTTTGTCTGCAGGAACCACTGTCCACTGTAGTTTGAAGTTTCTTAAGGATTCCCTCTTCTCAAGGAATTCCAACAGTATCCAGTCTTCTGTGCTCGCTTTCTGGTTTCAGGCTGTTGGGAAAAGAAGTGCTTAGCTCTCTCGCTTTGGACAGAACATGAACATTCCTCGGTCACTCAGTCTGAAACCTCCCTTCCCCTTCTCTCTTGTGTTTAATCATCTCTAGCCCCTTTTTTCCACAGACCTCGTCTCTGTTCAGTCCCAGTCAGTCCTACAAACAATTTTATTTGTTGTTCTATTTCTCCCAAGTCTTTCTAATTCTCACCTCTTTCTGAAATTGCAATTACCTGGGGAGGTTTGAGAAAATAGCTATGCCTGGTCCATGTCCCCAGAGATGCTGTTTAATTGGTGTAGAGTAGCCACAGGCATCGATAGCTGTGAAGGCTCTCCAGGTGCTTCTACTTCCAGGCAGTGGAGTCTGGCCCCTGCTTTAGGGCTTTCCTTCAGGACGCAGGTGCAGCTCAGTCCGGGTGTGGGGGCAGCAGGCTGACCGTGCATTCAGGGGCCACATTCACCCCAGAACATCATCATCCTTCCCCAGTGCCATTGCAGGTGATTTCCTACAATACTGTCAAATGTCCTCAAATCCTTCCCAAGAGAACAAAAGCAGAAAATTATAAAATTACAGTCCTTTGGGATTTTTTCTGTAAATCTTATTGTAATTTGGGTACAATTGTTTGAATATTTTGTATGAGCTAAACAATTCGTATCTCCATCCGCAGTTTAAGATTGGGCTTATGTATTCAGTACAGAACATAAAATATATAATTGTACAGTAATCATTTTATTCTCAACTATATTCAATGGCATGTTAAGATAAAATCTTTATAGATCAATTCACAGTCCCTCATCGCACTTATTCTCTGTTTCGCCCTCACTCACTCTCACACTCTTTCTGCCATTTTTAAACACTTCCCTTCAAAATGGTTTGAAAGAAAATTTCTAGAGTGATAACTTGCTCCTACCTCTACTATACTCTTGTGTCTTCTTGCTAACTATGATTTAACATCATTCTCTTTCTCCCTATCTGCTTTTATTTTTCAGTTAAAAAGGGTCCAGTCTTCTCACTATACATATCACCACCCCTTCTGTCCCTGAGGCTGAAGAATTTCTGGGCAGTTGGCTTCTGTATAATCATGCTCTTTTTTTTTTTTTTCTTTTTAAGATGGAGCCTCACCCTGTTGCCCAGGCTGAAGTACAATGGCACGATTTCAGCTCACCACAACCTCCACTTCCCAGGTTCAAGCAATTCTCCTGCCTCAGCCTCCCAAGTAGCTGGGATTACAGGCACACTCCACCACACCTGGCTAATTTTTTTTGTATCTTTAGTAGAGATGGGGTTTCACCATGTTGTCCAGGCTGGTCTCCAACTCCTGACCTTGTGATCCATCTGCCCTGGCCTCCCAAATTGCTGGGATTACAGGTGTGAGCCACCACACTGGCCTAATCCTGCTCTTCTATACCAAATGTTGGGCAGATAGTTGTGGAGGGAGGGAAGGAAAGGAGAAGAGAAGAGAGAAGGGGAAGGAAAGGGAGGGAAGGAGGGGAGGGGAGGGGAGGAAAGAAGAAGGAAAGAAAGAGAAGCTCACTTACCAAAACCTGAATATAAGTAATATGCAGTAAAATAAAACTCAGCTTTTAATTATCTCTTATTTTTCAATTGTCCTAGAATGTAAGCATTCTCCAGAAATATGTTTTCACTTAGATATACAGAACTATCCATGTCACGTAGTTGAAAGGTTAAGAACCTTCATTCATTGCATTAGGGAAGGTAATGAGTCTCCAGATAAATTAGACAAAGCTAAAATGCTTACACGCCACACATAGTCTTTGCCATACAAGTGTGAATTCAAACCAGAAATGGCTGTCATCATACACCTGCGTTTATATATATATATATATATAGCATGTAATAGATTCTCAGTGGTTCTGAAGAAAAGAAGAAAAACTAATTTATCTTGCCATTGCTGTTTCTTCTAATCCACCTGCTTACTGCTCAAAAACATTCCTCCAAGAGTTACCACTTTCTTACCTCTGACATTTTAACTTAAATCCTTAGTGTTTGTTGGATTCTCTATGCACTGTTGCTTCCTCCCTGATTTTTCTTTAGAGAATGCTTTCTGCACCATTGCACGTAGTCCTGTTAACCAAGGATTTCTGCTCTTTTCCAACCAAGTACAGGATATGATGTATTTTCCTGAGAATTTAGAATTAGAGAGGGGGAAAATCATCCAGTTATTCTGCCCACTCCAACCCCTACATCCCATCCCAAGATATTGAAGCAAAGTTTATTTTATGCTATCTCTCGTGAATTAGGAGGTCCATGGTCTAACCTGTTGCTCTTATGTATGTATGTATGTATTTATTTATTTATTTTGAGGCTGGAGTGCAGTGGCACGCGATCTTGGTTCACTGCAACCTCCACCTCCTGGGTTCAAGTCATTCTCCTGCCTCCTGAGTAGCTGGGATTACAGGCATGTGCCACCATGCCTGGCTAATTTATGTATTTTTAGTAGAGATGGGGTTTCACCATATTGGCCAGGCTGGTCTTGAACTCCTGACCTCAAGTGATCCACCGACCTCGGCTTCTCAAAGTGCAAGGATTACAGGTATGAGCCACTATATCCAGCCCTGTTGATCTTAATTAAAGAGGAGCTATTGTTTTCGACAGCTCCCTTAGGTTTCAACTTCCCTACATTGTTTCAGATAGTTGGTTCCTTTGGAAAGCTCTGGTGCACTCTTCTAATTGATTGCCTCTCCTCCTAGCAAAACATCTGAGCCACTATTCTGTGTGCTGAATGGGAGATAGTCTCTAGTCTCCTCAGCTTTCTTCTCCTGATGTTCAATCTCTGCTTTATTATCAAGTTGGGATGAGGCAAAAAGGACCCCAGTATTTTCAGCCTTCCCTGACTTGGGAAGAGCCTCCATCTCCTGAGAATTGACTAGCAGAGTCACTCCTGAGGATTGACTCTGACTCTCAAGGGAATGAGAATTTAGGCTTTCACCAGGAATGTAGCCTCTTCAACTTGAGGTTGGAGAGAATGAGATATGTCGGCAGCCTGCCCCTTCCAGTGAGATACAATGATCCTTAACTGGAACTGAGGGTATAGGAAGCCCTGCCTTCTTGGTCCCAACCTGTCTGGAGTACAGCTTATGTCAAATCAACCGAGCTGAGCAGGCGGTGAAGGGAGAGACAGGGAGCAGGTGGTTGTGGCTCAGATACCACAAACATTAATTGTACTTTTCTTACTGAGTTTTAGTAGACGTTCCTGGACAATTATTCTTCATTTGCTGTTTATACCATTAGGAAAATTTTCAGCGATTCTAAATAGTTGTTTGTTTTATCTAGTTTTCACTCGTTTTGCTTTTTTTCACTGGGGAGTGGGCCCAAGTTGCTTCTTACTCTGTCCCATCTGGGAACTACAGCTTCCTGCTGAGACATTTCCTAAGAAGCTTGATTAAGGGCTTATCCTGTATCCATAAAGTTCACAGGTTTGGGAGTCTAATGCATCTGGGTTCAATTCCAAACTCTGCCACCGACTAGATGTGTGACTCTGGGGAGTCACTTACATTCTCTAAGCCTTGGTTCATCATATATAAATGGTGCTAATACAAATAGTTTTTTCAAAGAGCAATCCAGTAACAGAATCAAGTGCTTAATACAGTGCCTGGCACAGCCTGAACCCTTAATACACATCAGCTGTTATTTGTTTAAATCTTATAGGAAATGAGGAGCCACTGAAAGTGTTTAAACTGGATGGTGTTTTGAGGAGACCCACATTGTAGAATTATCCCTTTCCAGGGCAGGTCAAGTGATTAGGAAACTTGCAGTCGTGCAGAGGAAAAATAATGAAGGACCACAGCAAAGCACAAAAGCTGGGAAGTGATGAGTGGAGACTGCAAAAGGAGCTATGGGGAGGCCGGGTTCATGGGATGTGGTGCCCAAAAGATGCAGGGAGTGACAGTGAGAAAAAGGAAGTATTAGAGAGTTGGCCTGGGTATGGATAAAGACTTCAGAATTCTCAACAAAAACAACTCCTGGATTCACTGATTTTTTTGAAGGGTTTTTTGTGTCTCTGTCTCCTTCACTTCTGCTCTGATCTTAGTTATTTCCTGTCTTCCGCTAGCTTTTGAATTTGTTTGCTCTTGCTTCTCCAGTTCATTTAATTGTGATGTTAGAGTGTCGATTTTAGAAATTTCCCACTTTCTCCTGTGGGCATTTAGTGCTATAAATTTCCCTGTAAACACTGAGTTAGTTGTGTCCCAGAGATTCTGGTACATTGCGTTTTTGTTCTCATTGTTTTCAAAGAACTTACTGATTTTTGCCTTAATTTCGTAATTTACCCAGTAGTCATTCAGGAGCAAGTTGTTCAGTTTTCATCCAGTTGTGCAGTTTTGAGCGAGTTTCTTAACCCTGAGTTCTAATTTGATTGCACTGTGGTCTGAGAGACTGTTTTTTTGAAAAGATTAACAAAAGAGAATAGCCAGACTAATAAAGAAAAGAGAGAAGAATCAAATAGACTCAATAAAAATGGTAAAGGGGAGATCACCACTGATCCCACAGAAATACAAATTACCATCAGAGAATACTATAAACACCTCTACACAAATAAACTAGAAAATCTAGAAAAAAAGGATAAATTTCTGGACACATAAACTCCACCAAAACTAAACCAGGAAGAAGTTGAATCCCTGAAGAGACCAGTAACAAGTTCTGAAATTGAGGCAGTAATTAATAGCCTACCAACCAAAGAAAAGCCGAGGGCCAGATGGATCCACAGCCAAATTCTACCAGAGGTACAAAGAGCTGGTACCATTCCTTCTGAAACTATTTCAAACAAAAGAAAAAGAGGGACTCCTCCCTAACTCATTTTATGATGCCAGCATCATCCTGATACCAAAACCTGGCAGAGATACAAAAAAAATAAAATAAAATTTCAGGCCAATATGCCTGACGAGTATTGATGCAAAAATCCTCAATAAAATACTGGCAAACCAAATTCAGCAGCACCTTAAAAAGCTTATTCACCACGATTAAGTTGGCTTCATCCCTGGGATGCTAGGCTGGTTCAACATAAGCAAATCAATAAATGTAATCCATCACATAAACCGAACCAGTGACAAAAGCCACATGATTATCTCAATAGATACAGAAAAGGCCTTCAATAAAATTCAACACCCTTTCATGCTAAAAACACTCAATAAACTAAGCATTGATGGAACATATCTCAAAATAATAAGAACTATTTATTACAAACCCACAGCCAATATCACAGTGAATGGGCAAAAGCTGGAAGCATTCCCTTTGAAAACCAGCACAAGACAAGGATGCCCTCTCTCACCACTCCTATTCAACATAGTATTGGAAGTTCTAGCCAGGGCAATCAGGCAAGAGAAAGAAATAAAGGGCATTCAAATTGGAACAGAGGAAGTCAAATTGTCTCTGTTTGCAGATGACATGATTGTATATTTAGAAAACACCATCGTCTCAGCCCAAAATCTTCTTAAGCTGATAAGCAACTTCAGAGAAGTCTAGGATACAAAATCAATGTGCAAAAATCACAAGGATTCCTATATATCAATAATAGACAGAGAGCCAAATCATGAGTGAACTCCCATTCACAATTGCTACAAAGAGAATACAATACCTAGGATTACAACTTACAAGGGATGTGAAGGATCTCTGTGAGGAGAACTGCAAACTGCTTCTCAAGAAAACAAGAGAGGATACAAATAAATGGAAAAACATTACATGCTCATGGATAGGAAGAATCAATATCATGAAAATGGCCATACTGACCATAGTAATCAATAGATTCAATGCTATTTTCATTGAGCTACCATTGACTTTCTTCACAGAATTTGAAAAAAAAAACTACTTTAAATTTCATATGAAACTAAAAAAGAGCCTGCATAGCCAAGACAATCCTAAGCAAAAAGAACAAAGCTGGAGGCATCATGCTACCTGACTTCAAACTATACTACAAGGCTACAGTAATCAACACAGCATGGTACTGGGTACCAAAACAGAGAAATAGACCAATAGAACAGAACAGAGATCTTAGTAATAACACCACACATCTACAACCATCTGATCTTTGACAAACCTGACAAAAACAAGCAATCAGGAAAGGATTCCCTATTTAATAAATGGTGCTGGGAAAACTGGCTAGCCATGTGCAGAAAACTGAAAATGGACCCCTTCTTTACATCTTATAAAAAAATTAACTCAAGATGGATTAGAGATTTAAATGTAAGACCTAAAACCATTAAAAACCCTAGAAGAAAAGTAGGCAATACCATTCAGGACATAGGCATGGGCAAGGACTTCATGACTAAGACACCAAAAGCAATGGCAACAAAAGCCAAAATTAACAAATGGGATCTAATTAAACTAAAGAGCTTCTGCACAGCAAAAGAAACTATCATCAGAGTGAACACATAACCTACAGAATGGGAGAAAAATTTTTGCAATCTATCCATCTCATGAAGGGCTAATATCCAGAGTCTATAAGAAACTTAAATTGCATGAAAAAAACAAACAATCCTACCAAAAAGTGGGTGAAGGATATGAACAGACACTGCTCAAAAGAAGACATTTATGTGGCTAACAAACATATGAAAAAAACTCATAATCGCTGATCATTAGAGAAATGCAAATCAAAAGCACAATGAGATGCCATCATATGCCAGCTAGAAAGGCAATCATTAAAAAGTCAGGAAACAACAGATGCTGGAGAGGATGTGGAGAAATAGGAACGCTTTTACACTGTTGGTGGGAGTGTAAATTAGTTCAACCATTGAGGAAAACAGTGTGGTGATTCCTCAAGGATCTAGAACCAGAAATACCATTTGACCCAGCAATCCCATTACTGGGTATACACCCAAAGGACTATAAATCATTCTATTATAAAGACACATTCTATTATATGTTTATTGCAGCACTGTTCACAATAGCAAAGACTTGGAACCAACCCAAATACCCATCAATTAGACTGGTTAAAGAAAATGTGGCATGTATACATCATGGAATACTATGTAGCCATAAAAAATAATGAGTTCATGTCCTTTGCAGGGACATGGATGAAGCTGGAAACCATCATTCTCAGCAAATAAACACAGGAACAGAAAGCCAAACACCACATGTTCTCACTCATAAGTGGGTATCAAACAATGAGAACACATGGGCATAGAGAGGGGAACATCACACACTGGGGCCTGTCAGGGGCTGGGGGGGTAAGGGGAGGGATAGCATTATGAGAAATATCTAATGTAGATGACAGGTTGATAGGTGCACAAACCACTATGGCACATGTATATCTATGTAACAAACCTGCACATTCTGCACCTGTACCCAGAACTTAAAGAGGCAAAATGGTGGAGTTTAACTGATACATGATCTTCCTCTAGGAACCCTCAACTAGTAAAAAAGAAAAAAAAAGACTTTAGAATTCTCATGAATCAAATCTTCCTGTACTCCAGCCATGGCCTTCCAGGCCCTCATCCCTGGAGAGCTGGAATACACTTCAAACCCAGGTCCTCTATTTCCAGACTTCAGATCTTAGAAGTCTGAGGTGGTGGTTATATTTTAATGCCTTGAAAGTAACTCAGCCTTTACCTTCCCATGAGATAGACTGAAAGAAAATAACAACATCGAATGTTGGTGAGGATATGGATCAACTGGTAGGTGTGTAAAATGGTGCAATGACTTTGAACCCAGAAGACTTCTTAGAAAGTTAAGCATATACCTACTCTATAACCCAGAAATTCTACTCCTAGCTGTTTATTCAAGGAAAATAAAATGTCCCCCAAAATACTACCCAAGAATGTTCATTGCAGCTTTACTTATACTAGCTCCAAATAAGAAACAGTACAAGAGTTCATTCACTAAAAATAAAGACAAACTCTGTTGCTGTATTTATATGACAGAATATGCTCCTTATCAATACAAACAAATTAACTACTGATACATGTGACATGCAACACGAAGTAATCTCTAAGACATCATTCCAAGTGAAAGAAGCCTTACAGGAAAGCCTACATACTGTTTGATTCCATTAGCATGACATTCTGCAACAGGCAAAATGAATCTGTGGTGATAAAAATCAGATCGCCAGGCGCGGTGGCTCATGCCTGTAATCCCAGCACTTTGGGAGGCCGAGGCGGGTGGATCATGAGGAAAACAGATCGAGACCATCCTGGTCAGCATGGTGAAACCCCGTCTCTACTAAAAATACAAAAAATTAGCTGGGCATAGTGGTGTGTGCCTGTAATCCCAGCTACTCAGGAGGCTGAGGCAGGAGAATTGCCTGAACCCAGGAGGCGGAGGTTGCGGTGAGCCAAGATCGCGCCATTGCACTCCAGCCTGGGTAACAAGAGCGAAACTCAATCTCAAAAAAAAAAAAAAAAAAAAATCAGATCAGTGGTTGCCTGAGAGTCGGAAGCAGGGGAATTGATGGGAAAGAGGCACAAGAAGACTTTCTGATGTCACAAAAATATTCTATATATTGAAAGGAGTGTGAATTAGATGGGTGTATCATTTGTCAAAAATGACTGAATGATAGACTTAAGAGCTGTGTTTTTCATTGTTTGCAAATTATATCCTATAACAAAATTCTTAAAAAATTAAGTAAGATCTCATCTGCACTCTTGACACTTGTCAAGGCTAGTCTTGGCCTTAGTAGTACATATTACTTTTTCTACCCTACCTCCAAAATATGAGGCCTCCAAGTAAAAGCCAAATACGGAGAAGAAAAAAAAATTCAGTCTTTATTAAAAACTACAAGAGCAAACATAACAGTGAAAGTTCACTGAAGAGTTCCTTTTCTGGGGTATGGTATCCTTTCAGTAACCTTGAAATGTGGAAATACCAGGGCCCATGGTGGACGGGTCAGCCAGCTGATGATGCCTCTGGCAAATCCTGTCCTATGCTGTATCCTGCCTACTAAATCACACAAATATTACTCAGCAAAAGTCCTGGAAGAGTTCAGGGAGAGGGAGACGGATGTTGAGAGAACGAGGAGGAAGGAGAGAAAATGGCGTCCACGGATTACAGTCCCTATAGCCAGGCTGCAGCACAGCAGGGCTACAGTGCTTACACCGCCCAGCCCACTCAAGGATATGCACAGACCACCCAGCAGGCATATGGGCAACAAAGCTATGGAACCTATGGACAGCCCACTGATGTTAGCTATACCCAGGCTCAGACCACTGCAACTTATGGGGAGACCGCCTATGCAACTTCTTATGGACAGCCTCCCACTGGTTATACTACTCCAACTGCCCCCCAGGCATACAGCCAGCCTGTCCAGGGGTATGGCACTGCTGCTTATGATCCCACCACTGCTACGGTCACCACCACCCAGGCCTCCTACGCAGCTCAGTCTGCATATGGCACTCAGCCTGCTTATCCAGCCTATGGGCAGCAGCCAGCAGCCACTGCACCTACAAGACCGCAGGATGGTAACAAGCCCACTGAGACTAGTCAACCTCAATCTAGCACAGGAGGTTACAACCAGCCCAGCCTAGGATATGGACAGAGTAACTACAGCTATCCCCAGGTACCTGGGAGCTACCCTATGCAGCCAGTTACCACACCTCCATCCTACCCTCCTACCAGCTATTCCTCTACACAGCCGACTAGTTATGATGAAAGCAGTTACTCTCAGCAGAACACCCATGGGCAACCGAGCAGCTATGGACAGCAGAGTAGCTAGAGCAGCAGCTACGGGCAGCAGAGTTCATTCCGACAGGACCACCCCAGTAGCACGGGTGTTTATGGGCAGGAGTCTGGAGGATTTTCCGGACCAGGAGAGAACCGGAGCATGAGTGGCCCTGATAACCGGGGCAGGGGAAGAGGGGGATTTGATCGTGGAGGCATGAGCAGAGGTGGGCAGGGAGGAGGACACGGTGGAATGGGCGCTGGAGAGCGAGGTGGCTTCAATAAGCCTGGTGGACCCATGGACGAGGGGCCAGATCTTGATCTAGGCCCACCTGTAGATCCAGATGAAGATTCTGACAACAGTGCAATTTATGTACAAGGATTAAATGATAATGTGACTCTAGATGATCTGGCAGACTTCTTTAAGCAGTGTGGGGTTGTTAAGATGAACAAGAGAACTGGGCAACCCATGATCCACATCTACCTGGACAAGGAAACAGGAAAGCCCAAAGGCGATGCCACAGTATCCTATGAAGACCCACCTACTGCCAAGGCTGCCGTGGAGTGGTTTGACGGTAAAGACTTTCAAGGGAGCAAACTTAAAGTCTCTCTTGCTCGGAAGAAGCCTCCAATGAACAGTATGCGAGGCGGTATGCCACCCCGTGAGGGCAGAGGGATGCCACCACCACTCCGTGGAGGTCCAGGAGGCCCAGGAGGTCCTGGGGGACCCATGGGTCGCATGGGAGGCCATGGAGGAGATAGAGGAGGCTTCCCTCCCAGAGGACCCCGGGGTTCCCGAGGGAACCCCTCCGGCGGAGGAAACGTCCAGCACAGAGCTGGAGACTGGCAGTGTCCCAATCCGGGTTGTGGAAACCAGAACTTCGCCTGGAGAACAGAGTGCAACCAGTGTAAGGCCCCAAAGCCTGAAGGCTTCCTCCCGCCACCCTTCCCGCCCCTGGGTGGTGATCGTGGCAGAGGTGGCCCTGGTGGCATGCGGGGAGGAAGAGGTGGCCTCATGGATCGTGGTGGTCCCGGTGGAATGTTCAGAGGTGGCCGTGGAGGAGACAGAGGTGGCTTCCGTGGTGGCCGGGGCATGGACCGAGGTGGCTTTGGTGGAGGAAGACGAGGTGGCCCTGGGGGGCCCCCTGGACCTTTGATGGAACAGATGGGAGGAAGAAGAGGAGGACGTGGAGGACCTGGAAAAATGGATAAAGGCGAGCACCATCAGGAGTGCAGAGATCGGCCCTATGAGATGCAGAGACCCCGCAGAGCTGCATTGACTACCAGATTTATTTTTTAAACCAGAAAATGTTTTAAATTTATAATTCCATATTTATAATGTTGGTCACAACATTATGATTATTCCTTGTCTGTACTTTAGTATTTTTCACCATTTGTGAAGAAACATTAAAACAAGTTAAATGGTAATAAAAAAAAAAAAAAAAAAGAGTTCGGATAACTTTCCAAGGGTCCACAGCTGTGGATTATGCTTTTTATGATCCATTAGAACACTACTTAATTATGTAAAGAGAAATGGCTCGAGATTCTTTTTAGCTTGTTTTATGGGAATGAGAATTAGGCTTCTTTTGGATAACACTCCACATTACCACTGGAGCAATTCGATTTTTGGGGTATGACTTCTTTTTTTCTTGGCTACTCATAGCAATAATAGATATTAATAACAGTGACCGATCAGAAAATGAGGAGCTTGCTCAATAAGTTATGAGACATATTTTGCTGCTAAAAACTATAAGCTCATTTGTTCTCCCATTAATAATCTAGACCCTTGTCCTGAGACTTGCTGATACTGTTAGACATGCTCCCTCCATGATGATTCAAAACCACAGCTGAACCCGCTGTTGGATCATGACGTCAGTTCCTTGCAGTTGTGACTGGGTCTATGAGCCATGGATGCGTGGCTTCCACTAAATCAAAATTCATCAGAGACGGTTGAGATCTGATTTTTGTTTCTCCACTTTCAAGTCATTCTTTTATCTCAGGCATGGTTTAATTTCAGTCTCTCCAGCTAAAGTGGTGACTCATACATTAACCAGATGACTGGACTGTGCTGCACGATCATTCCAATTTACCTTCCATATGGGCATCACTTTAAAAACAACCACCATCCTTACCAGCAGTTCTCATTTCCAAAAGCTGGTGAACAAGCACATTATTTACAAAGTATGTAATCAGGGAACCCGATCCAACTCATTAACTGTATGACATCCCACTCTTTATTTAGACAGTTTACTGGCTGTGGACTTTCATATGGGATCTGTCATTTACACTTCCTGATAATAAAATTTAATTGAAATTTCATTCCTGTACAACAAGATGCCAGTTTAACAGATGGTCTGTAATTGTTATGTCCACATATTTTATATTGGATGGTATCACACACAATTTCACACAACTGCTATTCACTTAAATGCTGGGTTCATTTAAGACATTTCTTTCATATTAAAAACTGTATTGTCTAATATTACTGTAAAATACATCATTAAAATTAGTTAAAATTGAAAAAATGATCAAAACAGTCCTACTGAAACTAAAAGAATAATTAATGATTACGATCTGAACTGCATTCCTGAAGAGAGTGAAAATATTTGTACGGAAACATCTAGGTTCGTGTGTATGAGGCAGAAATTAACATATAAGCATGGCAGAAGATTGGGAATGTACCCTATTTTAACAAATGATCTAACCAAACTTCAGCCTGTATTCTCATCTATAAAATAAGCACTTAGTTGTATCCCTAAATTTCAGTGCTTCTTTGATCATTCTAAGAATCTCATTTATGTTCTTCTTTAATCTCAATTTTGAATCCACTGACTTAGTATTCAGTATACAGAAAGCCAAGAGTTATCACCCTTAAGATTAGGGTGAGGGGGGTTTGCAAAAAAGAAATACATCAGAGGCACTGAATACACAGGGAGAAATTCCAAATCCTTTCATATATGAAAGGTATAATTCCATCCCAGGTGTCATATTCAGTGGAATTTGAGTACTTATCATTAAGAAAATTTTAATCGTTAATGTAATTTCTGAGAGCATTTTAAAGGAACTTAGCAGTATAGTTTGAGAGTACAGGAAATTCAGTCTAGTGCGAAAAGCTGACTTGCTTCTCCGTGATGGTGGCATCCTCAACCTCCCTTTTCCACCTCCTCCCTCAATAATTTCAGTTACCTACTGCGCACAATTTTTCTATCTTTCCCACTCAAAATCTGTTCTCAGAAAACGTTTAAATAAACTCATTCACTTCAATATAGAGATGACTTGTAAGGCTCAAAACAACAATTTCCCCAGGAGTATTTGCATTTTAGGCAGATTCCACACCTTTCTGAAATGAAACAAGACTCTCTAATTACACAGTGCCGAGCATTGATGGGGAAGAGAAGTCCTGGAGTCTCTGAAACTGTACCATCCCCTTGGTGACTTTCACTTTCTTTACATAGTCCTACATCCAACGCAGGGTTGGATATTTAAGGAACAAACTATTTAAATAAGGAAACATGCCATCAGGCTTTTCTTTGAGAGGATGAAGAAGAAAATAAATGGAAAAGATGAAAGTGAAGCGACCACAGAAGGTGTGGCAAGTCCACACCAGAATTCTTGGAGAAGTGAGATACCAAGTGACGGAGAAAAAGGTGAGTAATGCAGGGAACTTAGTTGAAAGTGGTTTCAACCTCCCATAAGAACTTGCAGTACGCCAGCAGGTACTCTAGTGATATTATTTTAGTATTTATCTATGTATCCAGAATGGCTGTGAATGAGGTGCTCTGCTGAGTACCTCTCATTCTCATTTTCTGCTTGGATTGGAGTTACCATTTACTGTCTAAGAGGAAAGGAAGCCATGCTTGTCTTAGGCACCATTATAACCCTAGCACTTAGCCTACGGCCTAGCACAGGGTAAGCACTCAATAACTATCTGTTAAAGAAGTGCGCGAATAAATTTAGCTGTTTTCAAAAAATTGTAACACAATGCAGGTATCTTGAAAGACATAGTTTTCCTTCACTATTGTTCTTACATCTTTTGGGATGTTCTTCAGGTTTTTCAAGGGTTTCAATCTCATTGTTAAAATGATGATTATTATAAATGTACAGGTCACATATTTAGAAAATTGAGCTAAATCAATACTAATCAAGGTATAGGCTGAGGCATCAACATTAAACTTCCAGACTACAGAGTCTATAAGACTTCTGCCATTTGTCTGATATTTCTATGTGAGAGAGATACCGAATTTAACACCAGGCACACCCCACTCTTGGCCCCAGAGAGCCTCACTTTTCCAGTTGATTTATAAACTGCAAGGGCAGCAGTGGTGTGGAGATTCTAATCAAATATACAGACAAGCAAAGAGATGAACTTTTTTCTTGTATGCTTGGCACATGCCAAACAGCACTCGGCTCTTATGGCTATACAGTGAGAAAGAAAAAGCCCCTGCTTTTAAGAGTCTCAAAGTTAGGAAACTCTTACGACCTCCTAAGTTCAGAAAAGAAGATTACATCTTCTGTTCTTCTGCTGTGTACCTATAAAATTAGAGACTTGACCTGGATGAACTCGTAAGGTCGCTTCTAATTATGACACATACAAATAAATCTTTGCTCGTGATGTAAGTAGGAATGGCCAAATAAGAATGTCTGAAAATCTGTTCCTCTATCAGAGAAATAAGAACTGTGGGGGAAAAAAATCAAATAATGTTTTTTGGAACTTTGGAAATTAATCAACGGCTTGCAACAATCTGAGGAGCATTTATTCAAGAAAAACAGTTACATCTTAGTAAAAACCTAAACTTTGGGGTGGTGTAACTTGCTCATTTCTCAGAACCTCTCCCTAGCCCTCTATCCATAAAAACTAACAAATGGCCAATCAAGATACTCATGAAAACCAGCAGACCAGTAGCCCCTGGAGAGAGAACAATGGGCTTCTCTCTTAAGAAGAAATAGAAAATCGAAATAGATCTAGAACAAGTAAAGATACTGAGTTATCAGCAAAAAAAGACTTTCCAAAAAAAGAAAAATCCAATTGCAGATGGCTTTACTGGTAAATTTTTAAAATGTTTAGAATAAATGTAACACCAATCCTTCATAAACTCTTCCAGAATTTTCAGAAGCAGAGAGCTCTTTCTGAGTCATTCTCTGAAGCCAGAAGTATCATGATAACAAAGCTAATAAAGCCGTCACAAGAAAACTACAAAGCAATATCTTTTATGAACATAGAGGCAAGCATTCGGCACAAAATATGTCAACCACGGCTAATGACCTAAGATTATACAAATAATTACACACTATAACCAAATCCAATTTATCCAAGGCAGGCAAGGCTGGTTTGATATACAAAGATCAGTTAATATAATCTCCATGGAAACAGAAATACTTTTTGACAAAATACAATGGCTTGTAATAATAAAAAATATCCAAAAAACTAGTTATAAAAGAGAACTTCCGCTCTTTTCCTCCTCGGCTGTCTAAGGATAGGCCGCCATCATGAACGACACAGTAACTATCCGCACTAGAAAGTTCATGACCAACCGACTACTTCAGAGGAAACAAATGGTCATTGACGTCCTTCACCCTGGGAAGGCAACAGTGCCTAAGACAGAAATTCGGGAAAAACTAGCTAAAATGTACAAGACCACACCGGATGTCATTTTTGTATTTGGATTCAGAACTCATTTTGGTGGTGGCAAGACAACTGGCTTTGGCATGATTTATGATTCCCTGGATTATGCAAAGAAAAATGAACCCAAACATAGACTTGCAAGACATGGCCTGTATGAGAAGAAGAAGACCTCAAGAAAGCAACGAAAGGAACGCAAGAACAGAATGAAGAAAGTCAGGGGGACTGCAAAGGCCAACGTTGGTGCTGGCAAAAAGAAGTGAGCTGGAGATTGGAACACAGCCGAAGGAGTAAAAGGTGCCGCAATGATGTTATCTATGGCCGTTGTGGATTTTTCACGAGAAGCTTATTAATAAACTAAAAACTTTTGTGTGTCAAAAAAAAAAAAAAGAGAGAACTTCCTTAACCTGATAAAAGGTATCTATGAAAAATATAGCTAATGTCATACTAAGTGGTAAAACACTGCTTTCCTCTTAAGATTATCAAGAAGGCAAGGATGCCTGCTCTTGACACTTCTATTCAAACATTATACTGGAGGTTCTATCCAGGACAGTCAGGCAAGAAAACGAAATAAAAGACATCATGATTGCAAAAAAAGAAGTAAAACTACCTTTACTTGATAATGAAATATTTTATATATATACATACGCATATATACACACATACATACATATACACATACACAACTAATTTTATAGATATACATATATACACATATATGTGTGTATATGTACACACACACACAATTCTAAGGAACTTTAAAAAACCCAAACTATTTGAACTAACCAGTAAGGATGTAGATATATGA